TATATATATATATATATATATATATATATATAGACTTGGGATCATGTGAGACCCAGAGTTTTTTGTGAGACCCGTAAAACCAATTCTCAACCCTTGAATTAAATCTACAATCTGAACATTTATAATCACAAAATTGTCACGAGACTTTTCTATAATCACAAATTTGCCACCGTGCAACCTTAGACCATTAGATCATTAGCTTATAAAGTTGATCAATGAACATAAATTGGTCTTATAGGTCTCACAAAAAACCTTTGGTCTCACGTGATCCCAACCCTATATATATATATATATATATATATATATATATATTAAATCTTAAAAAAATAACATTTAATTTATACGGTTTTTATTTAGAGATTCAAAAATCAATATATTTAGTAAATAGTTATTTCTTTCTCTAAAAATTTAATGTTAATAAGATCTGTAGCGATGAAAATACTGTATATTTAATTTTATGAAGTTCTTCAATTTTTTGAGAATTTTATTATATTTTGTTTTTTTCTACGTTTTAAAGAATTTTTTTGTTAAAACAAAAAATCACTTTCTTCATTTTGAAAAAAAATGTGTTGAGAATGCTAAAAAGACATCAGTTTCTCTACTTTAAGAGGTGTTTGATTAGAGGTATTATGCAGTAATCAATAACAATGAAAATAAAAGAAATTGTTTGATTTTTTATAACATAATTGGCTCATTCCATAAAAGCCCAAAATTTCATTCATGGTTAAACTAGAGGAAATAAAAATTTATTTTTATTTTCAAATAAAAATTCATTTTTATTTTCATTCACTGTCATTTTCATTCCTCATTATGAGCCAAACAGACCCCAACATATTAGACTAAAATATTATGTAATATTAAACATGTAGCTTCAAAATATCTTGTTTTTAAATATTTATGAAAATAATTGAGTTTTTTTAATTTTTTAATCTTTTTGCCAAAAAAAATATTTTAAGCATTTAATAAAAGCTGCAACGAAATAAATTTGTGAGAACAATAATTATTAAGGGGCCGTTTACCAAATGTTTATCCGGGTAACATTACCTCACCGCATGAATATGGTAAAGACCATGAATCTTACCCGGTAAGAGCGAGACAAGGACCAAAAGTCTTACCCGATAAGTGAGGGCGACGACTCTTACCACGATAAGCGTTTACCGGGTAAATTGTTGCATATAATGTCGTTTTGGTGGACTAAAATCTTACCCGGTAAGTAAATAATAGTGTTAAATTTTACCGGTAAGCACTTAACGAGTAAGTGTTTGGTAAACGGCCCCTAAGAAAACATCAAAACAACTGAATCATACATAATTTTATACTAAAATCACGTTAAAACCACATGCGATTCATACGACTCTGGTCACGGGTCATGTCATCCGCTCACCTTTGCGGGTAGACTATGATCCGTAATCGTATGTGCAATCACATGTGATTTGGTTCTTTCTTGTTATCTTATTTTAATTATGTTCTCATCTATCAAGTTATAAAATGTTTGTAGGATCTTAGATAATTAACGTAAGAAAATTAAGGGGATGAAAATGAATATTATCAAATAGTTTAGGGTCCTTTTTGTACTTTTTGAGAAAATAAATTGTTTCCCCAACACACTTTTTTTAGTGATAACAAATTTGCCAACAACCCTTTAATTTTCAATTAGTTTTTGAATTTTAGAAAGTTATGTTATTTTAATTATTTAAAAAAATTAAAAAAAAGTTTGCTTTAATATATATAATATATCTGTTGGAGATGCTCTTATACAATCATGATTCATGTATGACAGTATGCATTCAGAAACAGTCTGTAATTTTATATGCAATTGTATATGATTATTACATAATATTTTCGTAAAGATTGTGATGTTTATTATACTGATATTTTGGTCTAAATATTTACAAGGACTAGTATTTGGATCGATCTTCTTAGACCTAGTCCATCTAAGGACAAGTACTGATCTAGTAACTATTACAGATTTGGGTCTACTGACTTTTTTTTTTAACGAACCTATTTCTTTTGTTACCTTTGTGGAAGAAATACGGGCGCTCACATATGTTCATTCAGTTGCCTCCATGGAATTAAGTCACCTGGAGTAATTTATTTCCGAAAAATAGTCGTTAGATGCGTTGACCAGACCCAGTTCGGTCCTTTGCTTGGCTTTGACTAGACGGGCCATTAATCGATATGGCTAAAAAAAGGACCATTTACGCCAGAAGGACTAGACTAGGCCTATGTTTGATGCTCGAACAATCATTAGGTTGGGTTCGAATCAGATTCATATAATGGGTATTTAAATGTCTAACATATCTCCCTAATGGGACCGACCGATTCGTTGAAGTGTGGGATAAACACAGTTTTTTCATATCAACATTGAATACCAAAGTTATAGTTCTCGAATAAAATATCAACCGACCATTAAAAAAAACCTGTTGCCTCTATTCTTACAGGTCTTTGTAGAACCCATTTCAATACAGAACAAAATACACCATTTTTACGTAAAAACATATAATATTAACGGTTTTAAGTTATCGACTAAAAATACAAGACACAATGGCTTTTATGGTCAATAAAGTCGAGACGAATCATAGCTCGAGGGTTGATGTTTCACTGTGTCGACTGCAACAATAATATAACAACATATTTGACTTTTACTGATACTCTTTTTTTTCCAAATATTTAATAATCTAAAAATCAAAATTACAGATAAAATAAGATCTATATATACTGAAAATCAATATATTCTCTTACAAAATATTTATTTCAACATTAATTTTTTCATCAGTAATTATTACAAGATATAACTGATATTGCGTTTAATTAATAAGATTCTTTGATTTCATTTTCATTAAATAACAACTCCCGTAAAACAAAAGGACAGAACAAAACTTTAATCGTGCAAAGTTTAAATCCGAGTTGAAATTCAAAGCAACTTTTTGTATTCTATTGTTCGTTTTTTGCTTTGCTAATCGACAACAGATATATAATATTTAATTTTTTTATAAAATAAAATGTAACTATAAATAGAAAAAAACGTGTATAAATCACATGTTTTAAGTACTTATAATAACCAGATATTGTATCTACGTAACAGAATAACATTTTTTATCTGAAGTTATCCTTAAAAATACGTTTTTTTGTTAAAATATTTATCTGTAATCAACAATTATTACAAAAGATCTGTCATAATATATTTAATTATTTAATTATCAAATCGGTTTTTCATCTGGAGCGGGATAAATGTATCCAACATTTACTGATTTTCTTCCTACATAAATCAATATCAAAACTTACTTTTTACATTTTTAATGTATGATTTGATCTGATTTTGATATAAATAAGACTGGAAATAACAACTTCCTTTCTTTAAATGCTTATTTTTTTTTTAAATTTTTTAGAAGGGTATTAATTAAAAGGTGAAATTGGACAAGTGTGTGTTCCATAGTATACAGTATCAGAAAAAGTGTAGCTCTAATTTCCCAAAATACCCCTGAAATCTTTGATGAATTTCCAGTTCTACCCCTCGTTTACTACACCCCTATTTAAACCCAACACCCCCTTAGCGTTCATAATTACCACCACCTCCCCTCTCTCCCTCCCACACCACCTTCTTTAGCACTCACAATCACATGGGCATAAATTCAAACCGGGTGGATCATTATTCGGGTTCGGGTCATGCAAACCGAGGCCCCACGTCAACGGCTCCGGTAACGATAACGGTTTCCGGCGAAACAATGACGTCGTTGGAGTTGCACAACGTTTGTTTGCCACCTCAAAAGAGCACGCTACAAAAACTCCGGCATCGCTTGTCGGAGATTTTCTTCCCCGATGATCCGTTACATGGGTTTAAGAACCAATCGCGTCTAAAGAAATTGGTATTGGCTCTTCAATTCTTCTTTCCGATCTTCGAGTGGGCGCCTAATTACAGTTTTACCCTTCTCCGTTCCGACGTCGTTTCTGGTCTCACCATTGCCAGCCTTGCCATCCCTCAAGTATGTACATTTTCTCAATCCAAAATTCCTCATCACCACCTTCATATATATATATATAGCGTTTTTCTCTGAAACCGACCACATATATAAAGAAGTTCAGGGAAAAGTTTTAAAACAAATGAAAAACTGAGACACATTCCAGTAACGATTCATCTATATGATATATATATATATATATATATATATAACTGATTGTGTATGGAATTGGCAATAAATGAATTTTGTTCCTGAAATCGAAACTGCAAATTTTCTGGTCTTAAATTTGGAAAAGGGTATTTTCGTAAATCAGGTTTTTCTTGTTATGTTGGGAGTTGGGTGCATCAGCATCATGCATGGGAATTTGTACTTTGTGCTTAAAATTAATTTTGAAATTTATATTTTTTTATTTTCATAATTAATTTATACCATTTTCATCACAAACACAATCAATTATATATATATATATATATATATAGATGAATGGTTATTAGAGTGTGTCTCAGTATTTTATGGTCCATAAAAAAACTAAAAACATCTTATAAATTAAGTCATATAATATCTTGCATAAACTGTGTAAGGTTATGTTCATAATTAATTTATACCATTTTCATCACAAATTTAAAAATAATGCTAAAAAATAAAATTTGAATTTATACGATTTTCATTAGGAATTATTTAAATATGATTTTGAAATAAATATATGGAAGCAATTAAATACGTGATTTTGTGGGTAATTATAAAATCTGAGTTGGAATAAATTCCTTAAATACTAAAAACATTATCTTATCCTTTTCAAACTTTAATTTGTTCTTTCAAAATTAAGCAAGAAATTTGGTGCACCAATTTTCTTTTATTCCACTGTTAATTTTATGGTTATAATTTAATTAATACACTAAATAAAGTTGCTCATATTATAAATTTTAATTTATTTTTTAGAATTATATATATATATATATATATATATAAGGTTTATTTTGCAAATTATGTTATTTGTACAAAACGTACAAACCTTATTCAATCAATCATAATTTTTTTATTTTGTTTATTTTTTTGTGATTATAAGAGGTTGGTTAATCATTTTTATTGTGGAGAGTATTAATCATGGATATTATTATCTTCATTATATTAATTTTAGAGAAGTACATGAAGCGGTTTCATTAAAATTTCATAAGTATTATATGAAACAATTTCATAACCATATATGAAACAACTTTATCAAAAAAAAATTATATGAAACAATTTCATAAGATTAAACAATTTCAAAAAAAATTATAACATAAGATTAAACAATTATGAGATGTTGGTTAATCATTTTTATTGTGGATAGTGTTGATCGCTTCTCTCTTTCTCTCTCTCTCTCTATATATATATATATAGAGAGAGAGAGAGAGAAAGAGAGAGAAAGAGATTTGGGATCACGTGAGACCATCATGTTTTCGTGAGACTCGTAAAACCATTTTTTTACATTTGAAATTTCACAGCAAAACCCTATGAAGGTAATCTTCACAATAATTTTGTTGTGAAAGTTTGGCTTTTTTGTTACCTTCACAGTGTTCAGCTATGAAGTTTGAAATGTAAAAAAGTAATCTCACGAAAACAAGTTGGTCTTATGTGAACGCAGATGTGCATTCGATGCTTATAAAATTTGTTTCATTTTCTGTATGAATTAAGCTTTTTTTATCACTTGATTCCTAAACCAACCAGCTATCAAACGTGTAATATAACTTATTTTGTAAATCGTCAATACAAGACTTTAATTGGACCTAAAATTCAGTGATAATTTTGGTAAATTTTAGAACTTTCTTTTGAGGATGTCATCGACTCATGTGGGGATGAAGATATAAACATGGTATCTATTCACGAGGAATAAATAAAGGACCAACAAATAATAAAGTTAAATATATTAAAATAAAAAGGTTGATGAGATATTCATATGTGAATTATCGAAGAAATTTCATTTAAACATGCACATATGAATCCATATGAACAATTTATAGTTATAGTGTCAGTCCACGTGCATTTTCAACTAAATTCTTTTTCCAATGATTCACATATGAATTTTACCTTATCATGATCCCTATATATCTTTATATTTTGATTTGGTGTTTGTTCCTCCTAATTTGCAGGGTATTAGCTATGCAAAACTTGCAAACTTGCCTCCAATAATAGGGCTATGTGAGTTTCCCTCTGTCTTTATTCTCTTTTAACTATGTATTATGTTACTAATTTATCAGTAATTTCGACAATAAATTTGACTGTATACCGATTTTGGAATCTTGTTGATCAGACTCGAGCTTTGTGCCACCATTGATCTACTCTGTGCTCGGGAGTTCGAAACATCTAGCCGTGGGGCCGGTGTCGATAGCCTCACTGGTTATGGGAACAATGCTAAATGAAGCGGTTCCATACACTCAAAACCCTGGTCTCTACCTTAAGTTGGCTTTTACTGCAACGTTCTTTGCCGGCGTCTTTCAAGCAACTTTAGGACTCCTCAGGTACTTTTTACTTATCATCTAATTGTAACTCTTAATTATCCTACAAAATTGCGTGTATGATATATTGAAGGTCTATTCATATTTGGACCATTTTTCTCGGTATACATCGGAACCCCCGCCAATTCTCATCGATATATGTTGAAACTTCCCTTCTTTCCGTGATATCTGTTTTGGAAATTAATCTAATGAAATCCCATATATTCTCACATAATCTTTTGGTTGTTGCATTTGCCGACATGGCCCGAAATGGAAGTCAAAGACTTCTTGCTTGTAATTATCTCAGGATATTTATATTCATACCATGGAAGGACTTTTTTTACAAAACGCTTACCGGGTAAGAGTGATAACAAGGATCGAGAGTCTTACCCGGTTAGTGAGCGTTACGACTCTTACCCAATAAACGCTTACCTGATAAAAATGTTTCATACAATGTCGTTCTAATGAACAAAAATCTTACCTCGTAAGTTAAGTGACAAAACTGACTCTTACAGGTAAGTGCTTACCCTGTAAGCTTTGGGTAAACAACCCCTTAACAACTTTTACACTTACGTTAGAACATCTCCAATAGATTCTCTAAAATACAGAATTTATAAAATATTTTAATAATATGGTTTAATATTTAAATTTTTAATATAAAATATTCACTAAAATTAGAGCATAATTTTTTTTAAAATTAAAAAAAAATTATAATTTTTTATTAAATAATTAAAAAAAACACCTTTTTTCCAGGTAGAAGTGAGTGATTGAAATGTGATTTTGAAGTTAATGTAATGGGCACAAAACTTTATAAAGAGAATATCCTATCAATATTTAAATATATAAATTAAAAAAAAATACTGCTAATTTTCTTCTTGTGTGATTATTTGACTTTAAAAATAATATTATTTTAATAATAATTTTATTAATTAGCAGTGGGATCTAACTCACCAAATCGTAAAACATTCCATTCATGAGTGCTTTTTAGTTAAGACCAGCCTTCTAAATCTTTTGTTAGCAGCTTAATCTGTTAACGAGATTCACAGTTTACTCGGTCAGTTATACATGACTGTTTGATAGTGATTTAATGATTTAGAAAGTGACTTATTCAATAAGTTTTTAAGAGAACAAATACGCTGATTTTACAACTAAAAGGGTTACTCGGGATCGATTTTACAGGTTAGGGTTCGTGATCGATTTCTTATCAAAGGCGACACTTGTTGGTTTCATGGCGGGAGCCGCAGTTATTGTTTCTTTACAACAACTAAAAGGGTTACTCGGGATCGTCCATTTCACTACCAAAATGCAAATAATCCCCGTTTTGTCATCCGCGATTCGGCAAGAAAACGAGGTACGGAACACGTTTTTTTTGCGACGATGATAAAATGTCGAAATTCGAACTGTTTTTTAGTTCATTAAAGCTTGTTCTGTATTTGTGCAGTGGTCTTGGCAAACCATTGTGATGGGCTTTTGCTTTTTGGCCTTTTTACTGACCACCAGGCATATTGTAAGTATTACAAAACTTTACAGCAAAATACTGTGAAGGTATAAAAAACATTAAACCTTTACAACAAAAATACTATAAAGATGTAAAAAACACCAAACCTTCATAGTAAAAACACTTTGAAGTTACAAAAAAACATTGAACCTTCAGAACAAAAACACTATGAAAGTACAAAAAACACTTAACCTTAATGACAAAAACACTGTGAAGGTACAAGAAAACACCAAACCTTCATAGTTAACAGTGTTTTTGCTTTAAAGGTTCATAGGTTTTGTGCTTTCATAGCTGGTCTCATGGGTTTCACGAAAACAAATTGTTGTCATGAGAACCCAGCCCTACAATGCTTCAGATATACAATAATAGTACAAGTGACTCATGCGTGTAATGGTACAACTAATCAATGCAGGGCATGCGAAAACCGAAGCTCTTCTGGGTATCGGCAGCGGCTCCATTGGCATCGGTCATTCTCTCGACCCTTTTAGTCACTCTCTTCAGATCAAAGCTTCACGGTGTCGCGACCGTAAGTACCATTACTTCAAATTATTTGATATCAGAAATGGATTATTCAGATGTAAATATCGACATTTTTCGTTTGGCAGATTGGTCACTTGGACAAGGGTTTAAATCCGCCATCATCGAACATGCTCTATTTTCACGGTGAATTCCTCGGACTTGCTATCAAGACGGGCATCATCACCGGAATATTATCTCTCACGGTAAGTTTTCCGTTTCCAACATGATGTATCGAGAGGTTCATAAAACCTCTTTGATTGCAAAAAGTGTCGGATCAAAACAATAATACATGGTTCTTGATCGACCATTTTCTCCCCTCATGGGGAGAAAGAAAATGCAGCTTGATGCATTGTTGGGTTGTACATCAATGTACAACCCAACAATACATCAAGATCTGCATTTCTCCAGTAAACTAACAATATGGTGGTTAACTCACTCACAGGAAGGGATTGCAGTTGGAAGAACATTTGCTGCTTTAAATGATTACCAAGTTGATGGCAACAAAGAAATGATAGCCATTGGCTTAATGAACATGGCTGGTTCTTGCTCCTCTTGCTACGTCACTACAGGTAATTTATTTATGACTTGTTTGGTAGTGGCTTAATGATATAGAAAATGGCTTATTCACTTGCTTCTAGGGGGAGCTTTATGTAGATCCAAGTTTTTCAAACCTGCTCCTTCCAATTAAAAAACACAATTCTTCCGTCTATGAGAAGACTCTCCCAAACAAAAACTTTTCCAATCTATACAGACAGATTAATCTACACAAACAACTTTATCCATGTAGGACGTAATGGAAAACCAACCATACAGCCCCTGATTCCCATATCAACTACATTTTCTCTTCGATGTATGTTGGAACCTCTTTTCTCTTTCCTTATAGGACTTCTTCGAAAAATGGTCTAACATGGTTCCACATATTCTCCCAGACTAAATTGTTACTATTCGTTTATATTTCGAGATCATATAACCTTGAATTTAATTGTAATTAGTTAATCTTTTGTAGGCTCGTTTTCTCGATCGGCTGTGAATGCCAACGCGGGAGCAAAAACCGTGGTGTCGAACATCATAATGGCGTCGACCGTGCTCATAACGCTCTTGTTCTTGATGCCTCTTTTTCACTACACTCCTAACCTTATTCTGGCTGCAATCATCATAACTGCGGTTATCGGGCTAATCGACTACCAAAGTACAGTTCGACTTTGGAAAGTTGACAAACTCGATTTCGTGGCGTGTTTATCTTCTTTCTTTGGTGTTCTCTTCATTTCGGTCCCCATTGGTCTTGCAATTGCGGTAATTTTACTCTTTTTTCGGGTATAGGATAGTAGATGGAGGATCAAACGAGAACAAAGTCAAAATAAAAGAATAAGAGAACCGCCAATTCACATGTGAATCACATGTGATTTTAGTGTAAAATCATATGTGAATAGTGTAAAATCACATGTGATTAAGCCGTTTTCATGTTCTTTTATTTGGTTATTGTTCTCGTATGAACCTGACTGTATTAAAGTATATTTCCGTTGATTTACTCTAACATCCATCTTCGGATTCATGTAGGTTGGAGTTTCGGTTTTCAAGATTCTTTTACATGTGACGAGACCGAACACAAGCGTTTTAGGAAACATTCCGGGCACTCAAATCTATCAAAATGTCAATAGATATAGAGAAGCTCGAAGGGTTCCTTCGTTTGTAATACTTGGTATCGAGGCCCCGATCTACTTTGCCAATTCTACTTATCTACAAGAAAGGTGCGTTTTACAACTCGCTAACGCAATCGAAGCCAAATTTTACAAGTTAGAAACGCGTTTCGGGGTTATTGAAAGTTTGGGTTTTTTCGGTTTCAGGATATTGAGATGGATAAGAGAAGAGGAAGAGTGGTTAGCAGCCAACAATGGCAGTTCTTTAAGATGTGTTATTATCGACATGACATGTACGTTATCGGGCTTTAAAAAAAACGAGTACCATACGAATGAGATCGAAAATAATAATCCATTTTTTAACGTGAACTTTGCAGCCGTGACGGGCATCGACACGAGTGGTCTCGCGATGGTGAAAGAGCTTAAAAAGATGCTTGAAAAACGCTCGCTTCAGGTTAACCTTAACTTCTAACATCCCGATCATTGTATTACACCAACGAACCTAGTATGTCCTACCCGATGGTGGATTGGTGGTGGTGTAAGATGTATGCAGACCTTTGCTTAAAAAACCCTAAACCCTAAAATATCTAAGTGTCCTAACATAATACTTTATACGACTTAAGTCTATAGTACCAAACTACAAAAGGTCCTATCAAAAAGTGTTACAATAGGTTCATAAGACCTTTTGGGCGTTTAATAAGTTTTGTAGGATGTTTTTAAAATAAAGTGTCTTATTAGCTATTTTATAGGATAATCTTGAGAAGTGTCATATAAACCCATCTTTTTATAGGACACATACATTTTTTTCCCTTCAAATAGTTTCTTTTAAAATAACTGATACAACATTTTACTTTAAAAAAACGTACTAAAAACTTGTTCAGGTGTCAAAAGCATCTTATAAACCTATTATAACACTTTAAGATATAACGGTTTTTGGTTTGGTCTTATAAACTTAAGTCCTATAAAGCATTTTATTAGAAAGCTTTAAGTCATGCTTTGTTAGCAGCTTAATGACCTTAATGAGACTCACAACTTATTATGTCAGTTATACATAACTGTTTGATAGTGGTTTAATAGTATAGAAAATTGTTTATTCAATAACAAGTTTCTAGTGGGAGTTTTATGCAGAAAATCAATTTTTTTCCCAAACCCTAACTCAAAATAATAAAAAACACGTTTCTTCCATCTAAAAAAACCCTCTAAAAAAAATCTTTCCGATCTATTAAGACAGATTTATCTACACAGACAACTTTATCTATAAAACAAAACAACATGAAAAACCAACCAACCAGCATCTTAGACATTTTAAAAGTCTTATAAACCTAATGTTTGTTATCGTAAGAGTAGAGCAGTTATTTCCATACCAGTTTCATCTGGAATTTATGAAGTCGAATTGAAAGACTCAGAAGATGGATTGTAGATTGACGGTAATTGTTCGAATCGCAGTTGGTTTTGGCGAATCCCGGAGGGAGTGTGATGGAAAAGCTACACCAATCGAACATATTGGAGACGTTCGGGTTGGAAGGCATTTATCTGATGGTCGATGAAGCCGTTGCCGATATATCGTCATCATGGAAAGCTCAGCCATGAAATGCAATGTAGAATAAGAAGATGAAGAGAAGTGTAGTTTGCAGGGTTAGGAAGGAAAGAATCAGTTCAGTTCAGTTCAGTTGTTATTGCTTAATGCTCAAAGTGGTATAAGCTGTTTTTTCTATCAACAAACACTTGGTCTTTTTCTATCTTTCATTACTACTACTACTACCAAACTAACCAGTAAATTGCATGAAAAAGTAATGTACTTTAACTTGATTCTTATTTCGGGTAACGTACTTTTAAAACTTCAATTTAAGTATCCCGGTAATCGGTTGAAGCATTAACCGGTTACGATGTTGATGTGGCGAGTGATGAGATGAAATTGGGTTGAATAGCAAATAATACTGAGTTGGGTACCACATCAGGTAACTGGTTAATGTTTCAACTGGTTACCCGAGTACTTAAATGTTTTAAACTTTACATCTTAGATACAAAAACAGAAGTTTTAAAAATACGTTACCCATAATATTAATCAAGTTAAAGTAATTTACTTATTAATACAATTTGCCAATACATGTTATGCCCCCTTCATATGAATAGGAAAAAGAATGAGAAAAATAATTAAGAAAATGATGAAAAGAGTAAAAAGACCAAAATATCCTTTAGTTTTATTAGGATTTGAAATGGAGATGAATTTTTCGCTTTTATTAAATAATTTATGGTAATAAAAAACAATTAATTAAATTGTCTGGTTAATACTTTGACGTCTTTGTTCTTTTATCTTTTCGTCATGAATATTTTCACATTTTTCATCAGTTTTAGCTTTCTGTAAATGATCAGATAAAGCAGTGTATAAATATAAAGTATCTGATATTCTTTCTAATAAAATGTTTACTCCATTTGTGTTCAATATTGGGTTTAAAATCGACAAACACGTAAAAACAGAAGAGATATTTTAGGCCTTGTTTGTTTTTCCAAAAAGAACTCTTATTAGTCTCTTATGTCTGATTAGTTAAGAGGTATAATCATTCAGATTGTTTGTTTTTTTTCCAATTTTTCAGAGACATTTATGTCTTGTTTACCTCTTATTTGATAAGAGGTAAACCAACTTCTTATTTGTCTCTTATTGTTCTCCAAACTCTTAGCAACGACGTGTCTCAATCGATTAAAGTTAAATGATCATTTCTCTCAGTTGATCCTTGCCAAATTGATCATCACCTGTATCAATTGATGTATTTTAATAGGATTTAAATGTGTTAAATACCGTTAATGACACATTTTCGTTTAAATGAATGCTAATTATATGATTTAGATGTAAATTTCGTAATGATGATGAATACATATGTGAAATTGTATAAATTTATCTATAAATTTAACACTATAATTTTCTAATGGATAAAATAGACATTTAAACAAATTCAAACATTCATCAGTTTACAAAAACAAACAGTCTTATTGATTCAGATTTCAGACTTTAGCACTACCTCTTATAATCAAAAGTGAAATAAGACTTCAGACTTCAGCACCTCTTAAAAACAAACGTTACCTTAGTATTTTTGCATTAATTTTACTATTTATGTTCATAAATTACTATTTAGATATCATTTTAATTTTTTATCATAAAAATAGTTGGAGTAAGAGAACCAGGCCTTGACCGGGTTTTTTTGGCTTTTTCGTGTTTTAACAGGCCGTAGTGATGGCCAAAAACCGGTCCCAAGATTTCTCATAACCGGTCCCGGTCTCGCTCAAAAAAGTTGAGCCCGGTCAAGCTTTATTGTAACCGGTTATGGACTAACGATCCAGGTCCCAGTCATTAAAAAATATTTTTTTTATTTTTATTTTTTTAATGATACATTTTCTTAATACATTATAAAATTTGTAATTTGATCACTCAAATACATTTTAAAAATGCATTTTATTATAATTAAAATTACATTAACTTACAAAATATAACGATAAACCGATAATTGTGAACGTTTTTTTTACGTTTTTTGCGAATCGAGAACTTGGTGTATAAATCCCTCAACCAAGACACTTATATATAGTGTTTAGAAAGCAAAAAATACAAAAAAAAAAAGCCAAAAAAGGGCTACATTTAAAAAAATTATAGTTACATTTTTAAAAAATGGGGTCGGCCCAGTGCCGCAAAACACCCCAAATCCATAATCGGTCCCAAACTTCGGTCCTATAACCGGTCCTTACCAGTCCGGTTTGGCCATCACTAACTGGCCGGGTCTTTTGAAGCTTTAACCAAGCTTTAATTGGGCCTTAACCGGACCGGTTTTCATTTAACCAAGGACCGGTTTGTAGACTTTATCCAGACCGTTTTTTAACCGGTTAACGACCGATCATGGGTTCAAAATTTAGAACAAAAACAGGCACAAGCCATTGTGATTAATATGAAGATCAAAGCTTTCATGGAGCAGAGAACAGAACAAAAAGGAAATATTATAAACCAGGTTTTGCACACCAGATAACAACAAACGGAAAAACAGATCAAATTATGAAATTGAATGTTAATGATGACATCTAAGAAAAATAAAGTGTGTCTCTATACCCGATTTATACGTATCGATAAGTGCATCATGCAAATTATGCTCCCCGGACTCTAATGCTTCTTCATCTTTAAACTGCCACGAGGTTGTAGTGTTTGAAACGCAAGTCTCGAGTTTTTTAGCAACAGCAACGCTATGAATTCATCCCGCGACTACTATAAAGCGAAAAAGAATGTATTCTTTCCTGAGTTTGTTTACTTTTGTCAAACACCTGCATGATTACACCCTCAAAAACTAATTATACAGATAAAAATACCATTTTACACCATAAAGCCAACAGGAAAAAGGAAATAATAGCAAATAGAAAGAGAAATTGTCCAAAATTAGCCAATTTGAAACCCCCCCCCCCTTCCCACATTTTCAACTTATTGACCGAAATAGCCGGAGATTATGCAACTGGGACTTAGGGCTTGTTTGCTAGTTGCTTAATGAGCTTAATGGGACTCGCAACTTATTCGGTCAGCTATACATGACTATTTGGTAGTGACTTAATGATATAGAAAATGGCTTATTCAGTAAGCTTCTAGGAGGGGGACTTTATGCAAAAAGACAAGGTTTTTCCAAACATGTCCATCCATATCAAAAAACAAACTATTCCATCTATGGAAAAAACCCTCTGAAACAAAACTCATCCCCATCTATACTGACAGATTAATCCACATAGACAACTTTATCCATTCAGGACTTAACAGAAAACCAACCAAACAGCCCCTTACGCAACTTACCTAACCCACTTTTTCAATATAAATATTCAGAAAAATTAAACATTATGCACGTTAAGTGAATGCTATTGCGTAATGTCTATTTGGGCAAGCAAATTGTCTACGTGGAGAAGCTAAAAAAGTAGATGTTATGCAGGTAGCACTTACGTAACTTGCGTAATATATAATTTTCCTGAATTATATTGCAACAGTAGATTACGCTACTTGCGCAATCTTTGGCTCTTTCAATCAATAAGTTGAAAAGGTGGCCATAAAGTGAAGAAGGGGGTCAAATTGGCTATTGCAGGCAATTTCTCAAATAACAAAGGCCAAAGAATATAGCCAAAAGTAAAAGACAGTTCAATGATCCCCTCCATTTTAATGAGGATTTATTCTAAAAATAAAGAATTGCCTTTGCATCTTGGTTATGCTTATGGAATTCATATGGAGTAATTAAGAATGCTTATGGGTTAATTACCTATATATATAATCTGCCTTTTATAGGGGTCACATTAGCTTTCTTTTACATCAATTTAACAACAGAACAAAAGTCAACTACAAATTTCTTTATTTCCCCATTTTTGGCTTTTCTTGACTAGAAAAAGGATTGCAGATTCCCCCAGTCTCTTCACATCCCACAAGCTATTTAGAGGGCATCTCCCTATTTATGAACTCTTCTGCTGCTCTTCGATGTCCCTAAAAATGTTTGTCCCACATTTGGCGTAACATTAAACCGCAACAGGATGGTTTGTTAGCAGCATAATGAACTTAATGGGACTCGCAGTTAATGATATAAAGAGTGGCTTATTCAATAAGTTTTTAGGGAGAGCTTTATGCAGAAACCCAAGTTTTTTTCCAAAACTGCCCCTTCCAATTAAAAAAATGCTAATTCCATCTATGAAAAACTCCTCTTAAACAAAAACCTTCCCTATTTATACAAACAAATTCAACCACACAGACAGCTTTATCCATATAGAACTTAATAGAGAATCAACCAAACAGCCCCTATTGAGAAAGAAATGCAATTTTCTTTTGTTCCACAAAGTTAAAAAATCAGGGAGATTGGACAAGATTGGTAAATTACTAAACTACCCACGTTAAATTAAAACCCTATACTCTTCCACAATTCTTTCACCTGCCTCAGTCTCACCCATTCAGACCAGTCTTGTCCCATCCTATCAGCATACTAAACGCACCCTAAAATACAATACATGCTGGAGAGGAGAGCTCCTTCCGAACAATCTAATCACATCTGCAAATGCAAATCCAACATACGTATATGATAACAGGGTTGGGTTCCGGTGAGAACAAGAGTTATGGTAAGAAGGTGAGAAAGAACCCTTCATATACATTTAACTACCTTTATTTACCTTTTTATCATCATGACCAAAAGTTAAACAAAATCATGTGTGTGAAAGTGATTAAATGTATGTAAAAGTTCGTGAAAGTGACTCAAAAGTGAAAATAAATTTGAAAATAAAGATAGATGAATGTAGTTGAAAAAAATTAAGTCAGATTAAAAAGTCAACTGATACAAAAGCTCAGAAGTGCTTTCACCGATCTCACCATAACTCTTATTCTCACACGATCCCTCTTGTATGATGACAACATAAAAATAAAAAAGACTTCCTGTAACTCCTAAGGTTATTCTTACTATTTTCGAAACAGGCAACCTATACTATAGTTTGGTGCATAATGTATCTCAAAAACTTTAGCAAAAGAGTACGAGGGAAAAGATACAGCAGCAGTGACCCACTTTCTATGTAGTATGAAGTTTACTTTAACCTCATCTTTTTCAAGCTACCTATCTATTTGGAGCCCTCATAAATCAAAATATCCAAGTCTCTATTGTTTCTCTTCCTCTCTCCCTTTTCAATGCTTTCTTCTCATTTTTATAACTCTCTAGTTGACTGCTTGTGGTTTGATTATTCCTAATATTTATGACATTATCTTCATAGAGGGAGATTCTGGGGAAAACCCCCAAAAAAATGAAAAACTAAGCACCCTGGTAAACCATTCATCTGTACAATATGCACATGTGCATACAAGTAATTGAAGTTATTTCTTGCTTACAAATTACTTGTATGCATATGTGCATACCGTCCAGAGACCTCAGTTTTTCATTTTTTTTGCGGTTTTCCCATGAACCTGACCCTATCTTCATATTTCCCAATAAGTAACCAATAATAACTGCAGGTCATAACTATTCCCTGTCCCATGAAAATTGCAATAACTTCCATTTTGCAATGTTTCCTAGTAATTGCAATTTTTCCTACTTTTACATTTTTGCCAACCATCATCTTGCAATTCATTGATGGTATTGATTTGATCCACTAGATTTCCCTATTTAGTCATATTATTGCAGGATATTTTAGAGACAACTAGTAGCCAACCATTTTTACTAAACTACAACAATTGTTCCAAGTTCCATGGAACAAAGCATTTAAGATTACAAAGAAACTACTTAAAACATAATCCCTCCATCTTAAACAAGTTGCAACATTTGACAATAACACAAATTACTAGCAATTCATCTTACAGAATGTCGAAATACCCTTTTAAATTATTTATATACTCAAAAGGAAGTAAACCCTGTTAACTAAAATGACAACTTTGGTACTGATGATGCTGGGCATATAACTGATTGAGCTTGTAAGATTTTTCAACACATGGAAAACTGTAATTTTTATGGGAATTCCCTAAGAGAAAATTACAATTCTTGTGGGAGGAGAGAGTACAATAAATCAATTACATAAAAAACCCTCAAGTTAAAAATGGTATTACTTGGACTTCTAAATTGTTCGTGTACAGGATGTGCTTTTTGCGACTGTTACCCCTTTTTGTTAGATCTAGGATGATACCTACGCATTTGGACCCAATTGACTTGTTACTTCATAAGCTTATTCTACCTTCATATAATCCCACCCCAACTCCCATGGAACCACAGAGAGAAAAGGGAGGGGTTGGAAGACAAATATAATCTGTATTCAACAGATCCTAGACTCTTAAGACAATCTTTCAACCTTGATCATGATACATCTGCTACCAAGTACCAACTTCCTAATTCATCGACTTAGTTGCAAAAGCACAAATTTTTGCATGTATTACTCGGCATGGAGTTGTAAAAACGTCAAAAATTTTGCATGTGTTACTCCAAGAAATGAAGCTACTTGGCCACACTAGAAAAATACAGGTGCGTGTGATTGAGGCTGGTGTGCGGCGTGAAACGGAGGTGACATAGATCCAATTTGGCTCCATGTTTGGGAGATCAATGATAGAGACAATCCACCTCCTAAGGTGTCTCATGGATAAGTATACAGAGTGTGGTAAGGAACTAAACATGGTATTCGTAGATTTGGAGAAGGCCTACAATAGTGTGCAGCAGATGTGATTTGAAGAAGCCTAAAGAAGAGAGGAGTACCATGGAGGTATGTCAAGGTAATACACAATATCTATAGAGGAGCAAGAACCTAAGTACGGACCCCGGTGGATGAGATGGAGTATTTCCCGGTAGAGATAGAGCTTCGCCTGAGATCATCACTAAGTCCATTCCTTTTTGTTGTGATTTTAGACGAGACTTCCCAAGGGATTAGGGGAGTGTTCCATGGTGCATGTCATTCGCTGATGACATTGCACTGTTAGCGGAGCAAAGGTGAACCAGAGGCTACAAGAGTAGAGGAGAGTGGTTGGAAAAGTTAAAAACACAAGCTTGCACGTTGGTTGCTCCAAGACCGAACATATATGGTGCAACTTCAGCAAGGAATATATCAATGAGGAAGTAGAAGTCAACATTGGGAATTGAATGATACCTCAAAAGGATAGCTTCAAGTATCTAGGCCCTATGATTCAGAAGGAGGGAGAGGTCGAGGAGGGACCAGGGTAGCAGACTATGGGTATCTTTAACATGGATGCAGATAGGAGTATGGAGTGGTTAGAAGGTGAGACAAGGAGAGGGTAGCGTGGTGGCAGGTAGGTTACAAGGGCCTTACAACCAATAGAGGTTGTCCTAGTTTTCTGACCTCAGATACCTATTTGTGTGGCCCATTTGTTGTACATTAATCTCAGATTTTCTCCTTGAAATTGCAGTTGTCTGCATTGTGCTGTGTCACCTGTTCCCTGTTTGTGTAAACTATTTCCCTTATTTCTGCACTGACCCATTGTCTGTTTGCTTGTTTGCACAAACTCTCACCTGTAGCTTGCTCTTTTGTTTATTTGTTTGTTTGTTTTGCAAGGCAGGGTTCTTCACAGAAGCCTGTCTAGCCAATGAGTCCAAACCCTACCTCTGTGTGGGATTGACCAGGTCTTTTGGATTGGTTTAGTTTGCTTCACAAATCCCGATGCACTTCAACACAGTTTTCTAGATCTAACTCAAAGATGGTGACGGTTGTTACTGCAGCTGATAGGAGAGTGGAGTTGGATGCATGAAAAAACAACAATAGATGGTACTCTATTTAGACCAACAAAATCATGGAGGCCAAGACTATATGTATTCTTCAATACCAAAGATTATGATTCTCAGCCAAATGTAGTACTTAAGAGTTACCACATTAACACAAAGATATCTCTTCAAGGCTTGCCCACGGGTGGTACGAACTCAGGAACTTTAATATCAATATCAACTTCAATATGGCATTTATATGAACAAATATCATGGTTTTCGTGGAAATGAAACTTGGTGGATATGTAGAAGATAGAAACACATAAGCTACTAGCTGCAGATTGACCAATCAATGGCATCGATATGAATGATTAGAAACCAATCATTACAGTCCAGTTTTGATCCAAAAAAATGAAAATAACTGCTGTAACAAAGCAAGAGTAACATAAATTTCATGATGAAAAATAGTTTCTGCCAGCAATGCAGCACCACACATGCAAGAAGATAATAAAGGTAAATAGAGAACATATGAAAAATATACATTTCACACTCATCAGTTCTATGCATAAATTGAAGTTCACTTACTTGAACGGAGTCTTGAAATGGGAATTTCTCGCAATTCACGTCTTATACACAAATATTCTCCCAACAAAGCCATTACTGCCAATCCGGAACCATTGACAACCCACCATGTTACTGATGAGGGCCAACCTCCATACATGATGCATATGAATAGATGGATGATGTAAAGGGTGGCCGAAAAATCTAGGCACTTCTTTGCTCTCTCAATCAAATAAAGCAAGAAACCAGCTCTGTTTAAAATTTGAAACAAATAAAAGTTAAAAGAGCTTTCACAGAATTCATATATTCTCATCAGGATTTCATGTAATGATTTCATCAGGCAACATACTTATATTTCTCAGAAAACATTGGTAAAAGATCTTCAAAATACAAAGCAACCAAGTAGCCTTTTTCTTACTGACTTGAGGGTAGTTACACCAATGGCAATTTGCAAAGCTTCTAAATCGCATCAGCAGGTTGTATTACGGTCCTTTTTAATTTACGGCATAGGAGTAGGGTTGTTGACACAATACATTGTTCCTACATGCTGCTTATTATGCCACTTTACCATGATTTGAGCTGCATTTGTGTGGCATATAACATTGGTGCAAATTGATGCAATAGCAGAGTGATCAACATATATCATATTATAAACTTTATGAATGTACCTTTACTATTCAAACAAATAACACCATGTGGAAAAAGAAAGCAGTAACAAAACTCGAAATTTTTAACACACTACATGGTAACGAGGAACCCCTGGAAACAGAAATCAAACCAAGGTATGGTCAAAAAGCACTACTTCGTTCATATGTAGCATAATTTTGTAACATCAAAATCAGTTTAGATTGTTACATTCTTTCTTACAATAATGACACTAGCAATAAAAACAAATAGTCGTCTATGAGATCAAACCCTGGTAACAACCATATTTTAAGATTGATTGGGAGGAAGTCCAATGGTAACGATCTTACCATAGAACTTAAGTTGGGTAAAGCGGAAAATATATCATCTCTTTAGTCTTTACAAGTAAAACAACATTAGACAAACTCATACATGTTGTGTCATCAAAATATCTCTTTGTTATTCCCCTTCTACTAAGTAGTACTGATACTGGTAAGAACAACAAAATAGCTAGCTACAGAACTCAACAGTTTATTAAGCCCATGTACCATGGGGTCACTTGAATGCAAGAGTCCCTAGAAAAAAATGATGTTTAAGACACTTAATACACATTGATCTATAGGTGCAATGAGAAACTAGTATAGTGGCACTCAGCATGAGAACATAATAGCAGTGTAATGGACCAAAATTATAGAATAGACCAAGGCACCATCAATTAGAAAATGAGTTAACCAAGCATGGAACAACAAGTATGAAGTCGATGAACTTCTAGCTAGATGTTGTAGAATTAGAACATAAAGAAAATGCAGCAAATTCATATCCCATAAGCCAGAATTCAAACTGTGGTCTATGCTCGTTCATTCGTTGTATATATCATCTAACAGCACCAAACTTGAGAACCAGAAAGAAATACATGACAATTAGACATCATCAACATGTATCATTTTCATATAATTTGTTCTAGAAAACTCTAAAAATAGTACATTGCATAAGAAACTCCCCGAAATTAAAAGTAACGATCAAATTAAGTACAAGAATTTGGGAAATCATTACACTCACCCGGCTATAGAACTAAGAAGGAAAGAAGCGATGACAGACCAGCCAGTAACGGTGGAGAGAGTAACTGTAGCATAGTCAAAGAAGTAAACAAGACTCATCTTCGAAACCCTAGGTCCGACAATTATAGCCATGAAAAGTCCCAGCGTGAGATAGTACAAGCACTGAACGCATACGATTTGAGCTACAATTAGCCATGGATCCCATACCACTGAACCATAGAACATGACTACGGATTCACTTCCACTCTTCTGACCCCCAACACCACAATTCTACAAACAAATAAAAGGGGATACCCGATTGAACCTTAGTTCTTGGCGCAATCACCAGATATAAACATCGACGACGGTTTGGTAAATAACTCAGTGGAACCAACAAATCAAATGAAAAACGAAGGTTTTACAAAGTAAATTGAAATCAGATTCAAAGTGAGGTGCAGCGATCGGCTCTGGGAACGAGAGCTAGATCTAAGATTAGGAATTGAAATTGGAATGAAATTAGAGTAATTTGTTATGGAATGAATAGGTGAAGATGAAATCGAAAGAACCCTAGAACTTAAATTTCGATGACAGAAACATAAAACAATGGAATATGCTTAAATCCTCCATTAACAAACGATTGAACTTGTACCAACTTATTTTCGGGTTTGATATGTGACTACATAGGACAGCATGACGAGAAAAAAAAAAATTTGATGTTTGGTATGTTGTAGACAAAAAAAAACATGGGATAAGGTCGGATTATTTTTAATTTTAGTGGGACAAATCTTGATATTTTTTGTTTCATTAAAAAAAGTGAAATCATATGGGACTAAAGTTAAAATGACAATATTTTGATTGATTTGTTATCATTTTACAATCATTATATGATATAAAATAACATTGAACAACATTTAGAGGTAATATGGTTATTTTAATAGTTTTGTCATGTCCTGTCCTAGTCGTACCAAACATAGGACAGACAATTGATCCTGTCACGTCATGCCCTGTTCTGTCCCGTACCATTTCGTCATGTCTCATCCAGTGTGCGTACCAAACACTACCTTAGGGATAAAAAATTTACAAAACACTAAAGATGAGAAAATAGTATTACATAACAACTATAAATCCATTAAGAGAATTCATTTTACTTTACTATTCAAAAATAGTTATAATGGTTTAACTTTTTCAAAAACTTCTTATTACCGGTTTGACACCGATATAAGCTGTTTTTCCAAACACTCAAAAGTGCATATTACCGATGTTCTCCGACGGTCTCGGGCCGCGGCGATTTGACCGTCACTACTTGTAACCAGTCTCGGTCCCAGGCCGGGCCTAAATCGGTCTTATGTTAAAATAATATTTTCTTTTTATATTTATTTAAATTTATTTTTGATAAATTTTAAAAATATTTTAATGTTATTCTAATACACTTTAAAATATCTAATTTGGTCAATCAAATACACATAAAAAAATACGTTTTATTGTAGTTTTATAATTGATTTTCAATCAAATACACTTAAAAATATGTTTTATTATAAATTTAACACTTAGAAATCTATAAATACATATATGGACCATTTGGCCATCTCTATCAAAAAAAAATGAACATACAAGATATAAAGTTTTCGTTCTGAAACATCACAAGCATCTGACCGCATAGCGCAGTGGATTAGCGTGTTTGACTTCGGATCAAAAGGTCGTGGGTTCGACTCCCACTGTGGTCGTTTTTTGTTCTCCCTTTTTAAATTCTTATATTTCCAATAAAAAAAAAACCACTCAAACACCATACCTACATCAATCGAGGGTTAATTAGTAATATTTTAGTTTATGTTTCATCTTTGTCGCACCTTGTTCCAACAACAAAAATGTTGTACCATCTTATTTCAGTTATTGTCTATGTCACATGTTGCACCAAACGTAGGACGGTTCTTGTCCTGTGTCGCGCTACAATGAGTTTTGTTTTGTCATGTCTTGTCTCATGTACCAAACATAGATTAAACGAATAGTATTATATCAGATTTGATGTGTTATTATTTATTGGTATCTCAATGGAGTTATTTAGGAGTCGTTTAGAGCATCTCCAACAGCTATGTTATGATAGAGATTTTAGCGGATTTATAGATTTTTTTGCTCCAAGAGCTATGTTATATTGTATGCTAAAGTAGAGAAAAGAAGAGAGAGAGAGACACGATAAAAAATCTCCAAATTTAAAGAAACCTCTAAAACTCACTACTTTTAAATTTTCCACCAATAAGGGGACGTCAATTGCTTACCTAGTTAGCACTTACCGATAGAAGTCAATACTATGATTTATTTTGATGCGTAAGATTTTAGTATATCAAAACATATTGAATGTAACAATTTACTGGGTAAACGTTTACCTGGGTAAGAGTCGTTATACTCACTTACCGGGTAAGACTCTCCATCCTTCTCATCGCTCTTACCCGGTAAGATTTTTGGTCTTTTTCATGTTCATCATATGAGGAAATTTATCCGGTAAGCACTAACCAGGTAAGTGTTTTGATAAACGACCCCTAAATCATTGAAGTAAGGTGGTTTAGGAGATGGATCATTACCTATAACGCGCCGTATAAGAATGTTACATAAGATGTCGTTTAATGAACTAAAATTTTACCCAATAAGTTAAGTGAAAGTGTTGACTCTTACCATTACGCTCTTTTCAAGAATCCACAAAAAAAAGAATACGGATATCCAAGAATCCACAAAAAAAAATTGTATATATCCCTTTCATAAACGTTGTTTATAAATGGGATATACCAGATAGAGTTGGTTTGATCACGAATCCACACGAAAATCTATATATATCTCAATTTTTAAATGCTATTTCTGAATGGGATATACCAGATATGTTTGGTTTGATCACGCTGTATATATCCCACTTCCTAAACCCTGTTACGAATAAGATATACCAGATACTGTTGGTTTGATCACGAATCCGCAATCGATTTTTATTTTTTCACTTTAATGAAAATTATGCAGAGGTTACAAATGCTACATCTATGATTTACCCTCTAAGAATCAAATATTACAAATACCCCCCTCGACTTTCAACTAATAACAAAAAAAACCAACAATCCTCAAGATTCTTCCTGTTTTGAAACAATCTTTTTCCTCCTGCCAACTTTCTCTTCTTTAAGCTCGTGATTCCCGCTTTCGAGTTTCATATATGCCTCATCCAGTTCTTTCCTCAGATTATCGTGGTTTTCTGAACTTTCTGCAAGTTCGAGCGATACCCGTTTTAATTCTTCCTTAGTTTTTTCAGAAATGTCTTTAGTTGAGCTGAGTTCATCAGCCAACATTTCAGCAGTTTCTTTTAATCTCTCAAAGTTTTTTTTGTAATGCCTCTTTAGCTTCAGAATACTCGGCTTGAACTCGAGAAACCATTGTTTCAAGCTCCTTGCATGTAATCTGGGAATGTTCTAGATCTTTCTTAAGTTCTGAAGCCTCGTTTCTCACATCTTCTAAGGTTCTCCGTACAACCAAAAGCTCGTTTTCAAGAATTCCGACTTTACCTACCTCAAAATCCAAGGTCTCCCTCAAATAATTTCTTTCATTGGTCAACTCACCGATTAATCCTTCGTTTTTATCCACTTCAACAACGGCAGACTCGAGCTTTCTTTAAGTTCTTCGAGTTTCTTTTCCTTTTCTTCCAAAATCTTAGCATCCGAAGCCGTTTTCTGTTCCAAATAGATTGTTACATTATTTCTTATGTAAAGCAAATAGATTGTTCTGTTTACTTTAAAGCACTAATTCTTTCATATGTATCATAATTTTGTAACATCAAAACCAGTTTAGATTGTTACATGATTTCTTATAATAATGACAGTAGCAATAAAAACAAATAGTCGTCTATGAGATCAAACACCCTGGTAACAACCATATTAAGATTGATTGGAAGGAAGTCCAGTAGTAACGATTTTACCATAGAACTTAAGATGGGTAAAGCGGAAAACATATCATCTCTTTAGTATGGTATCGGTAATAAGCATTTTTGAGTGTTTTGATAAACAACTTATACCGGTGTTAAACCGGTAATAAGAAGTTTTTAAATAAGTTAAACTCTTCTGACTTATAATAAGTTAATAAGTGTTTTTATAGAAAAATTTAAGTTGTTTCAAATAAGCAAATCCCAAACACCCCCTAAATCCATTAATACAATTCATTTTACTTTACTAGATGAACATAGTAAGATTATCACCATGAATCTTAATAGCAATGATCGAGAGTCTTATCTGATAAATAAGGATGATGACTCTTATCATGCTAGCGTTTATAGGGTAAATTGTTGCATATTAAAATCATAGGGTTGGATTCACGTGAGATTAGCTTATTTTCGTGAGACCACATTTTTATACTTGAAACTTCATACCAAAAACACTGTGAAGATAAAAAAAAATATGAACTTTCATAACAAAAACACTGTGAATGTTAACTTTGCAGTGTTTTAGTGTTAAAGTTTCAAGTGTTAAAAGATGGTCTCATGGAAACAAATTAGCTTCACATGATCCCAAGTCTAAAATCATACCCAATAAAACAGGTGACAATGTTGAATTTTTACCGATAAGTACTTCAGGTAATTGCTTAGGTAAAGAGGCCCTTTAACTCTTAAAGTATTTTGATTTAAAGATTAGAATCTTGGATCATATTTTGTAATTAAAATGAATAATTTGTAATATCCTATCATCAAATGTTAAGGGGCCGTTTACTAAACACTTACCCTGGATAAACACTTATTAAGTAACACTACCTTATCGGATGAGTATGATAAATAGAGATAGCCAAATGGGCCATATATGTATTTCTAGATATTTTAAGTGTATTTGATTAACCTAATTAGATATTTTAAAGTGTATTAGAATAACATTAAAATATTTTTAAAATTTTATCAAAAAGAAATTTAATTAATTATAAAAAAGAAAATGTTTTTTTTTAATATAAGACCGGGACCGGTTACAACTAATAAAAAACGAACAAACGAGATATAAATTTTTCGTTCCGAATTATTACAAACATCTGACCGCATAGCGCAGTGGATTAGCGCGTTTGACTTCTAATCAAAAGGTCGTGGGTTCGACTCCCACTGTGGTCGTTGTTGTATTCTCTCCATTTAAATTCTTAATTTTCCAATAAAAACCACGAGGGTTAATTATTAATATTTTAGTTTCTGTTTTATTTTGTTCCAACAAAAAAAAAAAAGTTTTTTGGTCCATGTTGTTCCACCTTATCTCAGTTTTTGTCTCTGTCGCATGTTGCACCGAACGTGGGACAGTTCATGTCCTATGTTGCGCTATACGTGAGAGACAATGAGTTTTGTCTCGTCATGTCTTGTCTCATGTACCAAACATAGCCTAAACGAATAGTATTACATCAGATTTGAAGTGTTATTATTTATTAGTATCTCAATGGAGTTATTTGGGAGTCGTTTAGAGCATCTCCAACATCTATGCTATAATAGAGATTTTAGCAGATTTATAGATTTTTTTGCTCCAAGAGCTATGTTATATTGTATGCTAAAGTAGAGAAAAGAAAAGAGAGACGATAAAAATCTCCAAATTTAGAGAAATCTCTAGAACTCACTACTTTTAAACTTTCCACCAATAAGGGGCCGTTTACCCAATTGCTTACCTGGTAAGCACTTATCGATAGGAGTCAACACTATGATTTATTTTGATGCGTAAGATTTTAGTATATCAAAACATATTGAATGTAACAATTTACTGGGTAAACGCTTACATGGGTAAGAGTCGTCATACACATTAACCGGGTAAGACTCTCCATCCTTATCATCGCTCTTACCCGGTAAAATTCTTGGCATTTTTCATGTTCATCCGATGAGGAAATTTATCCGGTAAGCACTTACCAGGTAAGTATTTAGTAAACGACCCCTAAGTCATTGAAGTAAGGTGGTTTAGGAGATGGACCGTTACCTATAACGAGCCGTATAAGAATGTTGCATAAGCTGTCGTTTAATGAACTAAAATCTTACCTGGTAAGTTAAGTGAAAGTGTCGACTCTTACCATTACGCTCTTTTTCAAGAATCCACAAAAAAGGAATACAGATATTCAAGAATCCACAAAAAAAAAATTGTATATATCCCTTTCTTAAACGTTGTTTAGAAATGGGATATATCAGATAGAGTTGGTTTGATCACGAATCCACACGAAAATCTATATATATCCCAGTTTTTAAATGCTATTTTTAAATGAGATATATCAGATACGTTTGGTTTGATCACGCTGTATATATCCCACTTCCTAAACCCTGTTACGAATAAGATATACCAGATACGGTTGGTTTGATCACGGATCCGCAAACGATTTTTTATTTTATTTTTCACTTTAATGAAAATTATGCAGAGGTTACAAATGCTACATCTATGATTTACCCCAAGAATCAAATATTACAAATACCCCCCTCAACTTTCAACTAATAACAAAAAAAAGCCAACAATCCTCAAGATTCTTCCTGTTTTGATACAATCTTTTTCCTCCTGCCAACTTTCTTCACAGCAACTGCTGCATTCTCATCTTCACTTCCATTCTTCTTAATACTCTCTGCACTTCCATTCTTCTTAGCACTTTCTGCAGTTTCAGAAGGAACCCTAATTTCGCTTCTTAATCGTAAAATCTCGCCCTTAGCCGCCCCCAATTCCTTCTCGAGTTTGCTTCCTTTCTTCTCCAAACTCTCCTTTTCCGCCCCCAATTTCACAATTACGCTATGAGCATCCTCCATGTTTTCTCGAGCTTCTTGAATCGCCCGTTTCTGATCATCAAGGGATTTGTACAATGCTTCTTTCTCATCTTCAAGACCCGAAATCTTGGTCTTTGTGATCTCCAATTCCCTCGATAGAATCACTGTGTTCTGATTCATCTCATCAAGTGCTTTTGTCGCTTCTTCCAAATCCGTTTCCATCGACTTTCTTGATTCTCTGTCGTTCTTGATCTCACCCTCCAAACGGTTGACTTCTTTAGTCAAAGAAACGACATTCTTTTTCTCTTCTTTAAGCTCGTGATTCCCGCTTTCGAGTTTCGAATATGCCTCATCCAGTTCTTTCCTCAGATTATCGTGGTTTTCTGAACTTTCCGCAAGTTCGAGCGATACCCGTTTTAATTCTTCCTTGGTTTTTTCAGAAATGTCTTTAGTTGAGCTGAGTTCATCAGCCAACATTTCAGCAGTTCGTTTTAATCTCTCAAAGTTTTTCTGTAATGCCTCTTTAGCTTCAGAATACTCGGCTTGAACTCGAGAAACCGTTGCTTCAAGCTCCTTGCATGTAATCTGGGAAAGTTCTAGATCTTTCTTAAGCTCCGAAGACTCGTTTCTCACATCTTCTAAGGTTCTCCGTACAACCAAAAGCTCGTTTTCAAGAATTCCGACTTTACCTACCTCAAAATCCAAGGTCTCCCTCAAATAATTTCTTTCATTGGTCAACTCACCGATTAATCCTTCGTTTTTATCCACTTCAACTAAAGCAGACTCGAGCTTTTCTTTAAGTTCTTCGAGTTTCTTTTCCTTTTCTTCCAAAATCTTAGCATCCGAAGCCGTTTTCCGTTCCAAAGAGATCGTTAACTCGGTATATTCCTTCCTAGCAGAGTCCAGTTCTTCACCAATAACGTCTTTTTCATCACCTAAAGAACGGATTTCCGCATTCAGATCATCAATACTGGAACTTTTCAATTCTAATTCTTTCTCAAGTTTCAAGATCTCTTGTTTCAGCCCTTCGATCTCCAATTTCGATTCAGCCAATTCAACCCGTGTTTGCTCATACATCGAACTCAGTTTCTTGAACTCGGATTCTTTGACAGCAATGGCAGAACTGAGATTCGCAAGATTGTTGTCTTTATCTTTGATATCAGACGTAAGCAAGTTTATCCTTTCTTGCAGGACTTCAATGGAAAAGAGTTTATCTTTCACCTGCAGTTTAAGGTCCTCTTTATCATCTAAAGCCTTTTTGAGGTCAGTCGTGAGCCGATCGATCTGGTTTTTGAGATCTTGGACGAATTTCTTCTCTTTCTGGAGCTCTTTTCCTAACCCGTTTACCGTGCTGTTTGCTGAGCTTAATTGGCTCGTTAAAGATAGCTTTTCTTCATTCATCTTTCTAATTTGCTCGTTTCTTTCTTCCTTTTCGTTCAGCATTTTCAACTCAAAGCTCTTCTGCATTGAAACAATTGCAGCTTCCTTCTTAACCAGTTCAGCTTTCATCTGCACGATGATACGACCTTCATTAGATACAACTTTCCTGTTAAGTAATACAACTTTCAAATCCGACATGGACTACGACGATTTTCAAGAATTATACTACATTAGGTTTCTTAACAGATGCTATTATAGAAAGTTAAAAACATTGGCATTTAGGTACATTTGGCATACAGACAGACAAGAGAGAATAACTGTTCAGCGTTAGGTAAGACAGAATTGGACTGGACAGAACAAATAAATGACCAATTTACTCTAATGAGTTGTTTATATCTTTTATATTACTTATGTAATTTATTAAAATATAAAAAAATAAAAAAATTATAACAAAATATATGATCAGAAAGTTTTTGCCAAGAAGATTAAAATGACTACAAAAATAAAAAGTTGATGTAATTTCCAATTTTTATTTTATACATTTTCTATATTATTTTTTTATTATTAATATTTAATAAGTTACACAAATTAACCAAAATATAGAAACCGGATAAAAATAATATTTTGACAATAAAATGAAAGTTTAAAAAGCATAAAATACAATAAATAAAATTTAAAAGAATGAATAAAATGTAAAGAAAGAGGCGTATTTGATGTTTTAGATGAGAATTAGGTTTTATTTTGAGGTTATATTGGTAAAATATAGGTCTCCATAGGGTGGGGGTGGAAAACACATGTTCTACTCTGTTCCACATAAAAGTCCTGCCAAACATGGAACAATGATCCCTGTTCAGTTCTGTCATGTCCAGTGTACCAAATACACCTTTATTGTGTGACAAAATCCATGTCAAGATTCGATGTCGTCTTTTGACCTCAAAAGCCAAAGACCCCTTTAGTTTACAATCTAAAGGGAAGTAACACACTTTCTTTAACGAAAGATTTACTTCCATTGCATCTGATCTTGCACAAACCCTAATAAAACAACGATTTCCAAGTGGGTATTCCTTAAAACATATGAGAAAGCATTCCCATTCAGAATCGATATGTTGCAAGCTGATTTTAAAGCATTTACGCCCATAAAAACTTCTTTCTGGAAGTCCGGTAGCGTAAAGTTTTGGGAATCGGAAAACACATGATAATTTAAGGCTTACAGATTCTATTGTTGCATTGTTGGCTGACATTTCCTTCTGAGACAACGCATAGAAAGCACCAAGCACGCCTGAAGCAACTATTCCAATCCCATTCAAAAGAGTAAGAAATGGGTTCGGTGATGCATCTCCATTAGTTGGTGGTACCTGAAAGACAATAAAGGAATCATTTAAGGCGTTTCGAATATTATAAGAACATAGCTTTAACAAGATTAAGTACGGCTATTTTAATTTCAACGTTAAACTAGAATAATCTCGGACCTCTGCTATTTGATTAAGCTCTTGTTCCTCTGCAGAATCTTCTGAAATAACATAATAAAGAAAAGAAATTAGTCCATGTTTAGATAAGCCTCCACGTATTCACATACAACGAAATCTTGGAACTAAATTTTGTTAACAGAAATTGATCCTGCCCGTAACTAGTGCACAAAAGTTGGCATGAAAGCAAGCAATGATTGCCCTAGATATGCGAGAGTAGTAGGGTTGGAGGTAAGACAAGCGGGTTCCTTAGATAGCTACGTGATCCCAACCATGGTCAACTTGTTTAAACTATATGAACCAATACCAAACGAAACTGGCCTAGTAAATCCCACTCGAAAATAGGGTCCAAGGAGGGTGAGATGTATGCAAACTTGACCTTCTACCCCCAACAGGGTAAAGCAGTTGTTTCCGTGAAGACACCTGCCTTGTGCAAGAGTGTGAGCAAACAGGTGGAAGGGTATCTTAGTCATTTGGCAAACCATAGGGTATTTTAGTCATGTAGCTCATTGGAGTACTATCTTTCAAGCATTGGCAATCGGGTGTAGGCTCAAGAATCAAGGTGCTACCAACTCCTCAAGGACCATGTTTGTTAGCCAGATAGCCTAAAGTTTGCCCGATTAACGTAGATAGGGTTGCTTTGCATACACCTTAGTTGGGCAAACGGTATAGATTACCAAGATCATTGGAAAAGAAGTGAATTCCTCACTTCATTTACTTTTGCATTTACCCATCAAATCTTCTTTTTAAAAGCTTAAACTTGCTCAATTATGCTTGTTTGCAACGATACGCGAAGAGGCTTGGAGAATGGAGATTATGTACACCTAGAGATTTAGCATCGTTCATTTATCCATTTCTAGTTATAATCCGTGTAAATATAGAAACGTCATATAAGGGCTGATGTAACTTCCTCTATTTCAAATACGCTTTTTTAGAGCACGACAAGGAAGGGGTTGTCGGTATACACTTGACGATGAACACATGAAAAGCACCAAGAAATACATTCAAACAGAAAATATACGATTTGCACAAAACTAAACTTGTTTACAACTACAAGCTGGAACACCATACACCAAATCAAAAGGACAAGTTCAGTGCTGGTTTCTTGCAGTCATAATTTACAAGATTAATCCAGGCATTAGCCTGGGACATCCCTCCAAAAATAGATCTTCCAAGTTAACTTGCATATTCTGGACTTAAACTTATGGCTTATGTTAACTTGCATTTCCCTTCTTGATTCAAAAGATTCACCCATTTACCCCCGATCAAGGATATAAACGAAACAGCTAAAGATGAGATCTAAGGAGTTCTTTAGGGTTAATTAAGACTAATTACACCATAAATTCCATGGAAATCACAAATTTACCGTCATTCATTTCAGGAAACACTACACAATTGAAGTCCCATTTGAACGAATTCGCTAAATTCTCTTAAATTCAACCTAAATAGCAAGCCCTAGATACATTTCGCAAGTAAATTAAACAAAAAATTATGCCAATCTCGAAAGAAAAACTTGAAATCAAACATACCCAGTTCATGAGGATCAGGATTTTCAACAGCTTTTGACTTGAGATTCAAGAAGGGGAGAACAGAAATACCCACGAAGAGAATCGCTCTTCTCCCGCAAGAGACGTCGTCGTTAGGGTGATGATTTTGCATAGCAGCATAAATTTTTGTTCGTTTACTGAAATCATGGGGTTTTCTTTGGGAAGAGTAGAAGAAAAGAGGGGGTGAAGAAGGTGAAAAGGAAGGGAAAAGAGGGTGGAAGGTTGAAGAATGTAAAGGGGAAGAAGAGGTTCCCATTGCAAAACCCATCATCTGATACGATAGATTTTGCTTCTCTTCCTATTTGATTTTTGAACGACTGGATTGCAAGCAATTTCAGACTCTGTTGGGGGTTACCTTACTGACCAAAATGCCCTCTTTTATTTCAGCTCCTAAATTTTTTACTCCGATAAGATTTGATTTGAAAAAGAAGAGAGAGAGAGAGTCGTGACCGGCCCGATTTCGTTTTACCACTTTTTATATTTTAAACTTTAAAGTAAAATATTGTAAAGGTAAAAAAGACTGTCAAGATTCGGTTTTTTTACCTTTACAACGTTTTTTCTGTGAAGTTTCAAGTGTAAAAAAATGATCTCAAGTGAACTTAATCCTTGCATGTGAGACCAAACTGTTTTCGTGAGACCCGTAAGACCATTTTTTACACTTAAAACTTCACGACAAAATACTGTGAAATTAAAAAAAAAAATCTGAACATTCACAGGGAAAACACTGTGAAAATTCAAGTGTATAAAGTGGTCTCACGGGTCTATCGTGGGTCATGTCGCCTACACACCTATTTTTTAAGAACCTATAAAATTGTGATAACATTGATAACTTATGCATCATGTATCATTTAATATGATTCTTTTCCCATATAAGATTGTGATTTATATTTTGATTAACATATGTTTGTTTCACAATGTGTTTGTTTGACTTGTACTCGGTTCACAATATGAACATTTTTTACATGTTTGGGAAACAAAAGATGCACGTTAAAAAATTTCACACTGTAAACAGAATACATATGAAACAAACACATTGTGAAACACACACATGCTAATCAATATATTAAATACTATATTTAGACGGAAAAATAATCATATGAACAAAACATTAAAGTAGAAGTTGTCAGGGATCTCACGAATTTTGGATTTATCAAAGGATTATGCCCCTATATGTACATGCATATATATATGGTTAGGTTCAAAAGAAAACCGTAAAAAAATGAGAAACTAAATAGCACTTTAGTAACCATTCATTAGTATGATATGCACATGTACGTTCAATTAATTTGTAAATAAATTTTCAAGTATGTACATGTGTATAACATGGACGCATGCAGTCTATGTCTACAAATGAACGGTTGTTAAAATGTTCCTCAGTTTTTAATTTTAAAGGGATATATATACATACATACATACATACACACATATATATATATATATATATATATATGTATATAGTTGGGTTCAAATAAGAAGAGTTTAAAACAAGATAACAGTAGAACGAGCAAATTACATGTGATTTTACATTAAAATCATATCGTTTATATTGCCTCTTTTGTCCCGTAATCACATGTGATTTGAATATAAAATGTAGAGTGGCATTTCCGTAATTTAAGAATGTTGGAGTGGCAGTTTGGTCAAGGGTGATGCAAACTCTTATCAGTTAGTTTTCCGACCAATTGAAATACCTGAAGCATGAAAAAACGCCCCTTTTATCCACATTGTGCGTCTCCTACACTGCCATCTCATCATCAATATCATATTTCCTTTTCTGAATTTTTTACTTTACAATATTATTTTTAATAAATTTTATAAATATATATATATAGATTTTGAATTATGTGAGATAAGACTGTTTTTGTAAGACATGTAAGATAACGTTTTTACATTTAATACTTCACAGCAAAATATTATGAAAGTTCGGGTTTTTTTACCTTCACAACAAAAGTTTTTCAAGTGTAAAAATATTGTCTCATGTGTCTCACGAAAACAGTTTTGTCTCACATAAACTCAACTATATATATACTAGAAGCGTACTCGCGCAATGCAGCGAGATACATCGTGATTTTAATATTTTATTTTATTATGGCTTTATGTGATTTTGAGAAAACGATGGTGTTTTTATTTTTGAATAAAATATATGTTTGAAGATATCATAAAAATTTGACAAAAATATATTGATATTAGTATCAAATTAACTATTTCAAATTCCTCATTTTTTGTGTAATTTTTTAATTTAATTTATTAATAATTTAATTTATGTACAATAACGAAGTAATTCATATTTAGTTTAATAATATAATTTTATTATAAAGATAATAATTATTTGTTTTGTTGGAACTCGATAATTATTCTAATTATATTTTAGATTTTTTATATTTTAAAATGAAATGTTCATCCTCTATTTGATTATGTTTATCCGCAGTTATTTATACAAATTCAAAAATCGAGCTTTAATAAGTTGTACTTATGCATAATTACTTGTAATCTTGAATTTTAAGTAATAT